TCCTTTATCTACTGTGATAAAATACATTCACAGCTCTCAGAGTAGATAAGCTCCCAATTACATTTGTGTACCTTCTTTTATATATTATGTTTGTAAGTAATTGAATTTCTTCTATCATTGACACATATATTTTTCACATACTGCGTTAAGTACAACCTGAACTGCAAAGTCACTGCTTTCTCATTCTTATAACAGATATGTTTCACGAATTAAACCAAGTTTTTCTTCCATAGTGAAAATTTTAAGCTTTTAGAGACATTAGGATATTTTTTTAAAGCAGGCAAGATGAAAAAATAGCAAACGCCTTCGCCGGGAATCGAACCACGGACATCTGGATACCGTTACACCACAAAGGCACGCTGGAAAGCGGGAGAAATACCTTATAAGCTTTCCCTCAATCCCTTTTCCATTCAGTAACAGAATGTAGGACAGAAAAAGGTGTTAAAAAGAGCTAACGATTTTCAATGTTACAGTACAATCGTATGACTAAATATATTTTTTTAATATTAGTTTCAGTTTACGAATCCAAGGCTCTCCAGTTTAAGAAATGAAGGAAATAGCAATTACTGCGTACTAAGATAGGCTTACAAATTTCGTACAACAATAAATTTCATCAGATGATAGATTTCAGTCAAACATTTATAAGATTTATACTTTTATACAGGTACTGTAGAAGAAAACAGTCAACCAGAAAAACTGTTTCCTTTGTCCAATTAAGCAAACAATAAACAACCCATCTTCATATAATATAACTATCCGAAATATTTTAACTAAAATTAGCTACATTATATGTAAAGTTTATTAAAGACGGTTAATTAACTTTTCGAAGGCATATTTTGGAAATGCATGTTTTACAAAATTAAAAAGGAAACTAAGCATATACTTTTTCAAATTTAAATTTGTAGATCTTCGAAAATTCAGCCCTTTTAATAAAATTTGATTCTAAGTTACCCCTAAAGTCAACATTTTGCTTCTGTTTTTCCTCAGAAAAAGCTTCATATGAAACTATCTTAGATACATTTTTTGAGGTCGTTTCGCATATTACAGAAGCGAAATTTAAATAAAGGATCTTCTGTAGAATAGCGAATACGTTATTAATTTCAATTTTACCTGCAGATGGCAAGTCAAAAATATTTTTTAGTTTGCAGACTTTTACTTGAAGGTATGATATTACCATAGCTGCAATTTGAAAGTCTATCTTATTTTACTCATATTAAAAAACTGAAACAATGAATCTACGATCGGCCATTCCCAAGGGATTAATTACTCAGTTTTTATAAGCTTTTTATAAAAGCAACAGGAAAATAGCATTATTTATAAACGTGTGATGAGTAAATTGATTTTATATGTAATTTGTGCGACTGCTGTTTTATGAAAGCTAAGCAAATGAAGAATGAAAAAGAAACGTAATGTAAAATCCCAATTATCCAACAAAACTGGACTAAATGGTTGGACGCCTTGATTAGTTATTCTATTTGACATATAATTTTTTTTTTAATGTGTGATTATCCGTTAAGCCGGTATAGTAGTTAGTGAAGCTGACTTTCATACCGATGGGCCCGGGTTGAATCCCATAAAAGGTATGGATTTTTGTAAGTGTATAGTGTCTGTGCGGCAAGGGACACTCAAATACACGGCTAACCGAAAGTTCTGTTAAAAAGTTGATGGTAAATTTATCCAGTACAACAATACAAGTTAGATACAGAGGGAAAATTTTACACATATGAATTGCTAGAATAAACTGCTGTGGTATCGGTTAAGAGATATTTATAGAGTTCTGATATAAAATGCTGTACACTGTATTACAGAAAATATTACACTTCGATTATTACGCCAAAAAAGTGACTATAATAATTTTAGTTTTTAATACGAATTATATTTTTATGGTCAGTGGGTTAAAACGCAGTGTGTGGTAGTCAGGATTCTACTGGTGGAATAGTTCTTTTAAAAGTCAAGTTCAGCTAAATCATTATAACATATAAAAGTTTCTGTTGAATTTTAAATTTAAAAATAGTCCACAGTGTTACTAGATATTAATTTCATTGAAGCTAGAGTCAATAATTATTCCACTCGATGGTTATCCCTGGCATTTAATGTCGCGTTGATTTTAATGCAGTAAATAGATACAACAACCATGTTAGAAATATTGAGAGTTATTACTGTTAAAATCTAATTCATTATTACTGTTAGGAATTTTAATGCTTTTCAAAGACATTTCTTTCTTTTTTTTTTTTTTTTTTTTTTTTTTTTTTTTTTTTTTTGAGTTCGGTCTTACAAACTGTTATTTTGAAAGTAAGTGATTTCGATTAAAGCACTATTTGCAGACATTATTTATTAAAGTGTCACAAACTTTCTTTTCAGATAGTGCCAAATGCTGAAAACTCGACGAATGGTTCTAAAACAGCTGACGAAATTGATTTCGATCGACTGTTACCGACATTGTTCGAATGTTTTGCCATTGTATTCTGCGGGTGAGCATCTTTGAAGCATTTTCCCATGTTTTGTTTTACTTCCTATTCAGCAGTTAAAGAGCATCTTCCTGTTCATTCATTTTCTGTATTCGGCAATGATTTTTTTGGGTAACACTGAAAAATGCCGAACATTATTAAACGAAATTTAAATAAATAAAATTCTGACAAGTTTATGAAGCGAAAATCGTTAGCAAAATTTGTACTTCCCAAACTCCATGTACAGTATCGCAACTAAACCAACAGCAATTTAAAAATACAAAAAAGAGGAATAATACTTATTATAAGTAATTAAAAAAAACTATTAGCCTAAATGGGCTAATAGTCTCGAAACAGAAGTTTGCGTCGTCCACTTTAAACGGTAGTGTCACTTTTCAAAGTGTTGCCACCAAATATAGTCACCCTGTATTATTTTTAAAGAAATTAAATAATGAAGAATCTGTATAAATGTATGTATGTTCCTCGCACTGTGAAAAACGACGGTTCCCAGAGCCATTAAATTTTGAATAACGTAGCCCTCAACCCGAACATGTGCAACTGGAAGTCGACATTTTGAATTTCGAATTTTACATTTCATATTTTGTAAAGCTTTAATGAATTTTTGATTAACAAACTCAAGGTTTTGAAAGCGAGCATTGGCAACATTGTATGGAATAAAACATTTTTCTCTTCGGCGGAGACTCTATATCGGAAATTCTAAAGACATGCTTTTTTTAAGTATTTTTGTGATTTTGCTGTTGAATTAAATTTTATGTGGCGCAAGTGCCAAGACTGAAGAAAATAGAAAAATGTATGCCAACACTTAACACTGCATTTAAAAATCTGAACATATACTGCTGTGTTGCATTTTTATGCTAGTATACTTATACCGCAAAGTTTTTATGCTAGTTTACTTTAGTGGTGTCTTCCGATCTTCAGCAATTCTTATCCGTATGGTTAGCTTAAAAATGAGAAAGGCCCACTTCACTGTGCTTGTAATGTCTGTTTCTCTGCTTCGTTACTTGATAGGCGGATAAGTTTACATACATATTTTAATATTAATCTTAATTGTGAGAGAAGAATAAATTCAACAGAAAAAAAATTTTGAAAATTCGAAATTTTGCATGCAGAAAAATTGCATTTTTAAAAGTTCCAAAAACCTCTTTTTTTTTTCTTTTTTAATATACACTCACGTTTGTGAAAATTGCAACACCAAGAAGGAATCGTCATAATTGAATGCAATTTAATACACAGTTGAGTGGTAGTGGTACAAATAAATGATTAAATGTTCAAAGCAAACAAACAAGAACAAGAGATCAGAATCAGTATTTTGTGTGGCCACCACGCGCCGCAATAAGTGCTGCTACACGACGTGGCATGAGTCAAACAAAGTGAATGTCTGACTGAGGAAGAGCATTCCATATCGTTTGTACGCGTACCCAAAGTTCGTCTGCAGACGCAACAGGACGAGGATCACGAGCAAGACGCCGACCAATGACATCCCACACATGTTCAATTGGCGACATATCCGGGGAACACGCAGGCCAAGGAAGAAGCTGTACCTGCTGCGCTGCAAAGAAGGATTCAACAATCCGAGCAGTATGAGGGCGGCATTGTCCTGTTGAAATCAGCGCCTGGCAAGCTTTGAAGGAAGGGAACAGCTTCGGGCTGTAGAACTTCACGGATATACCGGTTGCTGTTCAGATTGCCCACAATTCGTAGCATTGAGATCGTCTATGATATGCTATGGCGCCCCAGACCATAACTCCGGGTGTTCGTCCACTGTGGCGTTCGATAATGCACTCCGGAAGGTGGCGTTCACCGGCATAGCGTCTGACACGAATGCGGCCATCATGGTACCACAAATTAAAGCGGGATTCGTCAGAAACACGACATGCTGCCAATCAGCACGCCAGTCTCTATGCTGATTGGCCCATTGTAGCCGCAGGCGGCGATGGTCGTGCGTTAGGGGGATCCTGTATAAAGGAGTCCGTGCGCGCAGTCCACACTGCAGCAGACGTCTACGAATTGATGAAGCACACAATGAAACACCTGTAGCTATTGACCACAGTGCTGCCAATTGTCTAGAGGAAGCTGTACGGTCCGTCCGCGCCATGCGGACCAGGTGTCTATCATCGCGAGCTGACGTCACATTTCGGGGTCCACTCCCGGATTTCCGAGTTGTCCGACACTCGTCCGTCACTGTGCTGCTGTTACGCTGCACACGAGAGGCTACTGCACGATGCGACAATCCAGCTTCACGAAGGCCGATGATTCTCCCTCGTTCAAACTCTGTAAGTTGTTCAAATCTCGCTCTCTTTCGTCGATGAGGCATAAGTACAGATTGAGTTAACGTTTACCACTAGCAGATAACCACCGATAACCATACACGCCTCGCTACAGCCGTCTATTTATTCGGATCCATCAGCCGTTCAGAGGGCGCTGCTCAGCATACGCATGCGCTACGGATTTGCAATTCTAATCATTTGCATATCATGCGCTACTTTGCATTTCCTGAAAATTTCAGCTCACTCGCGTAAGTCCTTCATGGTGTTGCAATTTTCACAAACGTGAGTGTATATATATATTTGTTTCAAAAGAATAAATTGAATTTAAATGCAAATTTAATTAATTCTTTGCGCCATTGCTACAAGGAATGAAATTTTAATTTTAACAAAAATGTATATACGTAAAAAGCAAGTTTAAAGTTAAAATAATTAAAAAATGTGCAAACATATAAAAGATTTAATTTTCGAACTAATCTACAATATCATTTAAATTCAGATAGCATAAGTAAATCAAGTGCAAAACCAAACCATGAAAATAAATTCACCAATTTAGAAATTAATATTAATCTAAATTTTTTTTAAATAATGCATAAGTGAATGACTGTTGAGCAGGCAGAAGACAAAATTATCAAGGGGAAGTTGCCTCCAAACCTAACTCTACAATCATTCAATTCGTGTTTCGACATTCATGCAAGCAAGGGTAAAAGTCAATACCAAAAGTAAATACATAGTGAAGAATGTCCAAAAAGAAATACCAATAAAGTGGTACCTTGAGAAATGAGCAATTAAAAGTAAAGGTCTAAAAGGAAAATACCAATAATGAAGTATTTTGAGAATTAAGCAATATAAAGTCTAGTATTAAATTATTTTTTTTATTTATTTTTTTTAAAAAATTTTCAGAAAAATTAATTTAGAAACCAATGCATTTTAGAAACCCTTATCTACATAAACCTTCCCGACACAAATATGTAATTATATTTTTAAGTATTTATTTGTTTTTTATAAATTATGAATTAGTTCTTTTTATATTCTTATTGGTTTATATAAATTATGTCTAGTTCCTTTTTAGCTTCTTTTTGATTGATATGCATATTCGTGTCGGGGAGGTTTCTGTAGAAAGGGTTTCTAAAATGCATTGGTTTCTAAATTAATTTTTCTAAAAAAATTTTACATTTTTTTAAAATTTAATTTAATACTAGACTTTACATTGCTTAATTCTCAAAATACTTCATTATTGGTATTTTCCTTTTAGACCTTTATTTTTAATTGCTAATTTCTCAAGGTACCACTTTATCGGTATTTTTTTTTTTTTTTTTTTTTTTTGACATTCTTCACTATGTATTTACTTTTGGTTTTGACTTTTACCCTTGCCTGCATGAATGACGAAACACGAATTGAAGATTGTTTGGAGTTAGGTTTGGAGGCAACTTCCCCTTGATAAGTCTGTCTCCTGCCTGCTCCAACAGTCATTCACTTATGCATTTTTAAAAAAAAATTAAATTAATTTTAATTTGCTAAATTGGTGAATTTATTTTCATGGTTTGGTTTTGCAATTGATTTACTTATGCTATCTGAAATTAAATGATGTTGTAGATTAGTTCGAAAATTAAATCTTTTATATGTTTGCACATTTTTTAATTATTTTAACTTTAAATTTGCTTTTTACGTATATACATTTTTGTTAAAATTTATATATATATATATATATTAGCCCAAAGGGACTGCATGGAAGTGTATATCTTTCTAGCACTGTGAAAAAAAAAAACGGTACCTAGATACATCAAATTTTGAATAACGTAGTCCTTCACTTGAATATGGGCATATGAAGCCCAAATTTGGAATTTGTTTTAATATCTATTTCATAATTTGTAAAAGTTTAACGAATTTTTTATTAACAAATCAACGATTTCAAAGCGAGCAATGGTAACACTGTACGGAAAAAGAAAAATTATCTCCAATGCACGAGACTGTGTATCAGAAATTCTAAAGATATGCTCTTTTTTAATTATATTGTGATATTGATGTTAAATTAAATTTTAAGTGAGAAGAATATGATATTTTATATATAAAGGTAACACACAAAACTTCGAAAAAACGGCCGTTTGGGCGTAATATAAAATTTGAAAGCTTTCAATTTTTTTATGAAAGTGAACTTCCGCGATTTTGATAACATTTCTTCTAGATTAATTTTGAATCCCATAGAAATATTCTTTTTTTTTTTCTGAAAGATCTTCAATACGGAAAGGAACTTCCTTCTTTAAGAATCTCATAAGAAAATTTAAATTTCGTTTATTTTAGGAAAAAAAGTCACATAATCCAGACTACCCTAGTGGGAACTCACCTTATTTTATTCATTTCTGTAACTGAAATCATGGCAGCCATTTATATAAAGGTTATTTTATTTTAATTTTTTAACGTATAGAAAGTTTGGAAATCTGCACTTTTGAAATTTCACCGGAAATAATGCCCTAATTTTCGTCGCTAATTAACTCATTAATAACCGATTGGATACCACAATCAGTGGCCATTCCTTTTAATATAATTCCTCGTAAAGTATACAGTATTGTATAGTTTCACAGTTTTTCCCATAATAAACGTAAGTATGAGCCAATTTCCTTGCGAAAGTTCCCTTTCCTTCCTAATTTTCCCTAAAGTTCCTTTTATAACACTGGAAATCCTGCAATGTTAGATCTTAAACTGAATATTTTAGGGCTTCTTACTTTAGAAGAATAGTTA